ACAATCATGGAAGAAAGGGCTGCTTATGCACAGGGAGATAGCTCAGGTGGCAGGAGTGTATGGAGGTTTGGACACTGGTAAGAGATAACTAAGGGGAGGAAGTGGGAAGGGAGCTGTTGCATTGTGGTAAACTGTGATCAATGACATCAGACAAAGTATATACTGCTGTATGGAAAGTGAATTTGCTCTGTAAATCTTCACCCAAATCACAATTAAAAAAAAAAAAGTACTGGGTATTTCATTATTATTCTACAGCATGGGTCAGCAAACTAGTTTGCTAATTATATTTCTATGGCCCACAAGCTAAGAATTATTTTTACAGTTTTAAATGGTTGGGAAAAAAATCAAGAGAATACTACACACATGAAAATTATATAAAATTCAAGTTTCAGCATCCAAAAACCATACTAGAACACACACATTCATTTAGCATTTTCTAATGCCGTTTTCATGCTATAGAGAGTTGCATAGTGGCAACAAATAGCACATAGGCCACAAAGCTGAAAATACTTGGCCTTTTACAGATAAGTCTGCCAATCCCTATTCTAGGGCTAGTCATGCTCGTTATATTTTACAGTTTTACCTAGCCATTTTTTTCTTCTTCTTCTGCTCAACAGTGTAGTTTCCTTGAGGATTTCTGGTGTCAACACATTCCTGGTCCTTAGAAACAATAAGCCAGGTAGGACTGCTATCAGCACCTTAAAAGTTAAAATTAACAAATCAAACCAGAACTGTCCCTGCAAAGAAAGGCTAAAGAGGCTGACCCCCAGCTACTTTATCTTTTGTAAATGTTTGTAAATGGAAACAAGTACTGCTACTAAGATCCCCAACGATCAAATAGTAATTAGAGTTAATACAGGTAGTCCCTGACTCACCAAAGGGTTTCATTCTGATGACTGTCATAAACAGGTTCTGACATAAACTGATAACTTTTTTTTAAGTTTTTGTTATTATTGCCTTTCATTAAGCCAATTAACTATATTATCTTAAAAAATAAGATCTTTATTTTCTTTGGGGGTTGTAAACATTACATATGAACATCTAGAATGGTAACATCAGGAAATTAGGAGCTCTGGTGGCACAGTGCCTAAGGCATTGATTGCTAACCAAAAGGTTGGTGGTTCAAACTTACCAGCAGCTGCAGGGAAGGAAGATGGGGCTATCTACTTCTATAAAGATTTACCACCTCAGAAACCCAATGGGGGTCGCTATGAGTTGGAATCAACTCGACGGCAGTGTTTTTTGTTTTTTTTTAAGCTAGTATGTATACTAGCAATACAATGTACAAGGAAAAAAAAAAAGGGTGATTGTAAGTACGGTTTGTCCTAACTCCAGTACTTAGTAAGGCAGAGACTATCCATAAATGTAATTTTCTCACGTTTTCTTTGAAATCTTTGGCAACTGAAAAAAGTGAACAAAAGCAAAGGGTCAATGAGGAAAAAACAGACCAACTGTATTCAGCATGCGTGATCCTAAATTCCGACTGATAGCTACCCCCACTGAGACGGTAAATTTTTGAAGTAAACTGCCCCATCTTCCCTCCGCGGAGCAGGTGGTGGGTTTGAACCGCCAACCGTCTGGTTAATAGTCAGATGCCTCAGGCACCGCGCCACCAGAGCTCCTTGTTTTGTATTTAGCGTGCAGGATCCTCAATTCATATACCTCGCTCATCTGAACATATTCTCTGCAAAGTGAAAATTTCTGGCTTTCAGCACGAGAGGTTAAATAGTGCGCAGTGTTTACAAAACATCACAATTTATACTGGTGGCAAGCTGGACTTCCTCCTCTCCAAGGAGGAGGGTACAAGCTGCTTTCTTTTTTTTACTAGCAGTTTCATAATCCTAGCACTAACTTCCTGCTCGTCTACCTAGCACCTATTCCTCCCACGCCCCGTCACATCTTTAGCCAGTATCTACTCATCTCCCAGCCCCTGCCCCAAGTCCTCTCCAGACCTAACACACTTCTACCCAGCAGACTCCTCAGTCCGATCACCTCATACCCTTCTATCGAAGTTACAGGTCTGGAGCATCCAGCAGCAAGAGAAAAGAAGGCTAGAATTAAAATGCACAAGTCCCCGCACAAGTACGATCTGAACTTGCGGAGAAACTGCAGTCCCAGACGTGTGCAAAAGTCTGTGCCTTGCTTGGGTCACCCAAGTTAAACAGAGTTTACGAAGAGCTAGCTTGCCCGTGTGAAAAGCTAGGGATACAAAGATGAGCTACAGAGACGCGATACGAGCTCTCCCCGGACTTTCATTGTAGATTATTTCGACAAAGACCTCCAAGGTAGGAGCTGGAGGAAGAGCTTTTGAAGTCCTCAGGAGGGAAAACTCAACTAATCTTTTAATGTTAAAACTGACACCCGACTAATCGGAAGTGACGTACCAGCTGAGACCTGTAGGTCCGCCACGTAATTGGCCGCCACCTCAACTAACACTCTCTCCCAGGCTGGCTTGAAGAGAAAAAAAGAATGGCTGGACCATCACGACCCTCCCGTGCCCCGCCTCTGGCAGGTCCCATTCCCTGCGGGAACTCACGAAGCCGAACCTGAGCCCGGGCCGCAGCCCTGACAGGGCAGATTCGCTCACTCCTGCGCCCCTCAGGCGCCCTGCGAGCAATGGGGTTCAGCATTCAGCCATGCGCATGCGCTGCCCTTTTTCTCCGGAGGATTCCTCGCGTCACCTGGACATCGGCATCTCAACCACCTGCTTCTCTTGGTCACTTTTCGCCCTTGACGCCTCCTGCTGGTTATCATCTCCGGCCCCAGTTTTCCTTCTTCCGCAGGCACTGCTAGGCCCTCACGCGGCCCCGGCGGGGACTCGACTTCCACTTGACAAGAGCTTCTCCGCGCCGCGCGGCTTCCGCTTCCGGCGAGTATTGTGTGTCGTGCTGCGGGGCGGAGGCGGGGGGGAGGAGGAAGGAGGGAGGCAACGATCCGGCGGCGCCGCGCCCTGCACTCCCGGACCAGAAGCCGGGAAGGTAGGTGCCGTCCCGCCGCCGCGCCCGCGCCCCGGGGCCTACGCCGGCCGGCCGGCCCCGCCTGCCGCGTCCCAAAGACTCGCGACTGCGTCACCAGCCCCCCGCACGTAACTACAGCTGCCTCCGCCCGCCTGGGGCCCAGGCGGACGTTTTGCCGCCCCGGCGACGTCAGCGCGTCCGGCGTTGCTTGGCTACCCCTCCGTTTCCCGGTCCCGCTGCCTCTCGCCTCCCGGGGTGAAACTCTGACGCCGTCACCGCCGATCTTGGCTGCGTCATAGCGGCGGGCATCCCACCTTAACGTCACACCTTCTCACCTGGACGCGCGTCCCTCCCTCCCCCGCCAGCCACGACGTTCCTCACCCCACTCTCCAATCCCCTACACCAGATCTGGCGGGAGAAGATGGAGACGGGGGTTGGACAGAGTTGTGGACAACGCTCAGGAGAGGGTCGCAAGGTGGGACCCTGGACAGTGGTAGAAATAGAATGAGGACGTCCCTGAAGTTTGCCCTTCCACCGAAACACGAGGAATAGAGGGAGAGGAAGGACTATCCTACAGGCAAGCGAAGCTTCACACAAACTCCAAGTCTTCTTCATACTTCCCAGATCCTTTCTCCATTTCTCTTTCATACCACTTCTCGTTTTCTTTGTCAGTCTAGATCCATCCTGGCCCCTAACTGCATATAATTCAACTCACTTCAGGTGAGGAAGCCACCAAGTTTCTAAGAAGGAACAGGGTCACCAGTCAAAGTTGGATTCCTATAGTTAAGAGAAGAATCATCTGACTGAACTTCTAATATTGGGGAAAAAATTCTAGCCCAAATAAGTTATTGAGCTCCTACTCCAAATTAAACACTTTCATATGTACTATAAATATATAGTGGTTAATAGTTGTTTACTTAACTCATTCCATGGTCACTTCTCTTTCAGCACATAGACCTGCTAAATTTCCTTCCTTCTTTTGGATCACTTGGGGTGATGGATGGGCAAGGTGGATATGGGGATAGAAAAATGAACTTACTTACGGATAAAAGTGTTGCCATTTTAATGCTGGAGTATGGGACCAGCCTTCTGCTTTATAAATCTGTTTGTGGACATGTCCAATTCTTTTGAGGCATTGCTTGAGGGAGATTTTGATTGCCTCTTTACTCTCTTTTCTCTTTATTCCCAACTGCTCCAGGACCTATTAGTTGGAGGCACAGTATGTCCAGGGAATTAATTATGAGTAGCTATCTTGAAAGACTCTAGTCATTGCTGAATAGAGTAGACTTACCAGCCTTCTTTTAAAAAAGTTGTTTGTTTGAGCTCAGTGACATATTCTTTAGTATAGTTGCCAGGCATTTGTCATTTTCCAGCAGTTTCAAATATCCAAATGCACACAAATAGAAATGGGATGTTATGTGTGTCGTTTCATTTCCAGAATTTTATCTAGAGTAGTCTGATATAAGGCAGAATAATTTCAAACTTTTCTTTAAAATGGAGGTTGTTACCCTTACCTAAACCATTCCATTTATCACCCTTTGAAAGAACGAGAGAAGAGTGGCAGGAAATCAAGATTTGACTTTATTAATACCTTGACTTTATGGCACTTTGCACTTTTCCAAACTCCTTTCTAATCTATGAGAAAAATATGTCAAACTAGGGATAAAGTGTTCTGGAGCTAATTGGTTCTAAGGTACAAAAGGAATGATCAGGAGTTCACTGGGTTAGAGTAGAAATGAAACTGTTTTTAACAAGAGAAAGCAGAGGTAAGAGACAGGAAAGGTTGAGGAGTGGGTGTCAGTTTGCTGAAGAGGGGGGGAAAAAAAACAATTGGATTGATGTCTGGGAGTCCAGTTTGGAAATGGAAAAAGAACAGAGAGATTGAATCTAGTAGGGGAAAAAGATGAAGAATACAAAGATAGGGCTAAACGTGGAGGTAGAATTTAATATGGGAGTAAATGTCAGGCCAAGGATGCAAAAAAATTAAACCACTAACTAATATTTTTTTTTTCTCTGCCCTTCCTCCTACCCCTAAGTCAAATAATGGCAGAGACTGGTCTGTTAGAGGCTGGGGCCTCTGCGGCCTCCACAGCTGCAGCTCTGGAGAACTTACAGGTGGAGGCAAGCTGCTCTGTGTGTCTCGAGTACCTGAAGGAGCCTGTCATCATTGAGTGTGGGCACAACTTCTGCAAAGCCTGCATCACGCGCTGGTGGGAGGACCTAGAGAGGGACTTCCCTTGTCCTGTGTGTCGAAAGACATCCCGCTACCGCAGTCTCCGGCCTAATCGGCAACTAGGCAGCATGGTAGAAATTGCCAAGCAGCTTCAGGCCGTCAAGAGGAAGATCCGGGATGAGAGCCTATGCCCCCAGCACCACGAGGCCCTCAATCTCTTCTGCTATGAGGACCAAGAGCCTGTATGTTTGATATGTGCAATTTCCCATACCCACCGGGTCCACACCGTCGTACCGCTGGATGACGCCACACAGGAGTACAAGGTGGGGAACCAGATGCATGATACCAACATGGGGAAAGAGGGCGGAGCAGCAACGGATGGGAGACACCCTGGGTACAGGATTATAAGTTCCTTGAGGGCAAGACTGCATCTGGTTCTCACTCTAATCCTCTCAGAGCTACACACACTGGGAATGCAAAGTATTCCTGACCAACTCAATTATCTTCCTTCAAGTATGAAGAAGAGCAGTGGTGTGGAGTATCCAAAATTTCTCTCTTGACTTTTGCAACACATTTGAGTCTTACATGTGAATATTTGTATGTGTGATCTTGGAACATGACATGTTTTTCATAAATGAATGAAACCGCGTGGAGAAGATCTAACTTAGGAAGAGCTGAAAAGTGTTCTGGTGTCCTCATTCTGTCCCACTACTCAGAATACCCCTTGTTTTCCCATTGATATTGGTACTAGGTAATATCACTTCTTTAGACTGATACCCAGCAATCTGAGCTGAAAAAGGCAGTCTGTTTCTCGCATCTTCACTAGAGAATGGATAACATAGCATCTGGTTTAACTTGCCACTGGGACACAGGGTAAATACTTGAGTAAGGGGAACTAGAGATTTCAGGATCTTAGCATATTGTCAATTATGTTGGAAACAAGATTTAAGGTAACACATGGTATAAACAAGATTTTATTACATCAATAGGTAGTTAGAGTTAGATGGAAGAGCAGATTTGAAGAAGGATATCAGGGTACAGAAGCTCACTTTGACAGTAATAAGCAGTTACTTGAATAACAAAATGCACATGGTTGGGGAAGCACACGGATTTGGTACCTGTTGAACAGCTATGAGATTGAGAAGAAGGTTGGATGAGCAGAGATAACTTGGGCAGGCTGGTGGCAGGAGAAGGGACCAGTAAGAAGTTGACATCCCAAGTGACAGGCAAGGAAGGGAGTTGGATCAAGAGGTAGTGAGATGGGTAATACACAAACAAATGGGTTGACCTCTGAATGAAGCATGTGGCAGCCAATCCTAGTTGTTACCTTTCCCACTTCCTCCCCAACCTTAGGAAAAGCTGCAGAAGTGCCTGGACCCCCTGGAGCAGAAGCTGCAGGATATCACCCGCTGCAAGTCTTCTGAGGAGAAAAAGCCGGGGGAGCTCAAGGTACAGGCAAGCTGTTTCATTTAGGCTGCTCTGCAGGTGTTTTCCTAGCAGAGAATTAACCACCAACTAGATAATCCACCAGTTCTGATTCACTAGAAAAATTGTATTCTCTCAAAATTGATAGTATTTTATAAGGTTTGATTGTCATTAAACACTGTACTTAAATATCTTGTCATGAATTAAGTTATTGAGAGGTGAAGGACAGACAGAACATCGCATCTGAGAGTTGAAATTCATGGCTGTTGGATATCATTTTTCTTTGTAAAGCAGGAAGGGAAGCTCTTTGTTGTGAGTGCAGGAATATGAGTTTCTTAAAGGAATTGAGGAGAAGAGAATTTAGAAGATTGACTGGGGAGGAAGGGAAAAGGAGCTAACCAGGAGCTCCCAGAAGAACTGCTCAGCAACCTTAGAACCACATCCTCTTGATTCAGTCAAGTAAGCTCAAGTATTCTGGCTGATGCTGGCTCATTACTAGAATGTTCTTTCTCTCCCTACCATCCACCTATGCCATCTTACCTATCCTTTAAGTCTCAGGATGAATGCCACTTCCTATTCAGCTTTTTTTTGGCTCTTCAGAAATGAACTTTCTTAATTTTCATGCTATTTTATGTCTTTTTCATAGTATTATCATATTCAAGCTTGCAGTATGGTATTTCAGTATCTTCCTTATTTCTTCTATTAGACAGTAATCGATTAGTAGTAGTAGCAATGATTACCCATTGCCATCAAGTTGTTTCTGATTCATAGTGACCTTGTAGGACCAAGTTGAACTTTCCCATAGGGTTTCCAAGGCTGTAAATCTGTAAGGAAGCAGACTGCCACATCTTTCTCCTCAGAGAGGCTGGTGGGTTTGAACCACTAACCTTTCTGTTAGCATCTAAGGTCTTTAACCACTGTACCACCAGGACTCCTATAGCAACAGTAGTAACTATTGAGTTTTATACATTACATCAAGGAGCTCTAGTGGTACAGTGGTAAAGCATATGGCTGCTAACCAAAGGCTTCAGCGTTTCAAACCCACCAGCTGCTCTATAAGAGAAAGATGAGACAATCTTCTGTAAAGATTTCCAACCTTGGAAACTCTGAGGCAATTCTACTCTGTCTTACAGGATTGCTGTGAGTTGGAATCAACTCGGTGGCAGTGTATTTGTTTTTGATGTGTTACTTCATTGGGTGGCCATGACATTCCAAATTCACAGTTTTCTAGTAGGTCTCAGGGTTCTACCTAGGTTGGAGTTCTAAGAATTAAGGTGAAACTTGGGATGAGTGGACAGAGAGAAGTTACAAGACAAAGAGAAGGAGATCCTGGAGCTCAGCTTTGGCAATGGCAAACTTAAGTACCTGGTAAGATAGGTGCTCTTATTCCCACTTTACAAACTTGGAGAAGTATCTAATCCAAAATCATAAGCCAGTGAGTGGTAAAACCAGGGATACTAGTTCTGTGTGAATCAGCAAATATTTATCAAGCTTCTTGTACAGGCCAAACTGTCTATGTGGCACTGGGGATACAATGATGAGCAGAAACAGTCCCTGCCCTCCTTGAGCTTACAGTCAGGTAGAGAAAACAGACATGAAATAATGTCACAGAAACACATTTGCGAGTTTACAAGTACACAACATAGAAATTTGGTTTAAATAAAGGCTTCCAGAGAAATAAGGAGTTTTTGAAGTTGAGATTTGGGGCTCACCAGAAGTTTTTAAATATACAGGTTTTGAAATAGTGCAGTGTTTTGTTTTAAAATGAATCACCACATTTCAATAGAAGCAGGTATTGTTACTATAGTGCATTATACATTTGATCATAGCAAGCATGTGAATTTTTAAAAATTTTATTTTGATTGCTATGGTAAACTTTAAAAATCTTTTATTATTTTTAGAAGACTCCAGAAAAAACTTAAAAGTATATGAAAATTAAATTTATTTTCATTCACTAATTTCCCTCTTCTGTTGATCACCTTCTTGGTGGTGGGGATTAGAGAGGAAATTAAATTTTTAGAAACTTTGTGCATGCATGAACAGAGCTGTGGTGTTTTTAAAAAGGTAAATTATCATCTCAATGGTCTCTGAAACTACCACCAACATGCCTTTTGTGGTTATTTGAATTCCTCTTCCTCCCTCTCCCCTTGGGTCCATTTCTCCCTCATCTACACCTCCAGAATCAGACCCCGTACCTCTTTTATAAAAATAATTGGTAATTAACCATGCTGAAAGGAAAATTACGGATTTTAAAAAACCTATCTACCTAAAGGATTTTTTTAAAGGCTATCATACTATAATATAATGAAAAAATAAAAGGAAAGTAATTTATAACAAAATGTGGTGTGTAAATAGTTGGAAGGTACTACAGTGTAAATACATGCTTGCATCTTATGGGAAATCATAGATAGAACATATAAAAATTCACAGTGAGATAAATATGTAGCAATGTCAGTTTAGACACCACGAGCAGCTTAGTTCTTGGTGACATAATTTTTCAGAATGATAAATAACTTCTGGTAAAGTTCTAAGAAAGTTTTATTGAGTTTTATTCAGTAGTTAACAGGTGCTGCACTTCTCAGGTGCACTTTGAGACAGAATGTGATCTTACAACATTTGCCCTGAAAGTAAAACATACTTCACTCTTTTCTTCCTTCCTCTTTTAGAAGTGGTGTGTGGGTAGAAGTTTCTGATTCATAACATGGTAAACAACACACTGCCATTGAGTCCATTCTGACTTATAGTGACCCCCATCGGGTTTTCAAGGCTGTAAATCTTTACAGAAACAGACTGCCTCATATTTCTTCCAGGGAGCAGCTGGTGGGTTTGAACTACCAACCTTTTAGTTAGCAGCCAAGTGCTTCAACCACTACACCACCAGAGTTCTTTATGTTTCATCAGAAGCAAGTATTATTACTGTGGTCCTTTATACATTTTAATAAAGCAAGCATGTGAATTTTAAAAAATTTAAATTAATTTTGATTGCTAAGGTGCACTTATAAAATCTTTTATTCTTTTGGAAGGCTCCTGAAAAACTGCAGATATATGAAAATGAAGCTTATTCTTGGGCACTATCTATGTTCTTCCTGTTGATCACCTTCTTGGTGGTGGGGGTTAGGGAGGAGAGTAAAATTTTTAGAAACCTCCAGTGTTCTCAGGAGGAAGTAACACCCTCATTACAAACCACTGCCCTGCAACTAGAGAATGAAAAGAGAAGGGATGATGGGTTTTTAAGAGGGAGAGAGCTTTGTAGTTTCCTATTTACCATGGTTATGAATCTAAGAGGAGCTCTGGTAGCATAGTGCCTAAAGCTTTTGACTGCTAACCAGAAGGCTGGCGATTCAAACCCACCTGCCACTCCTCGGAAGGAAGGTTGGGCAATCGTACTTCTGTAGTGATACTGCCTTGGAAACCCAAGGACGGGTTGCTATGAGTCGGGGCCGACTCGACGGCACATAACAACAACATGAGTCTAAACCTTAAATGTGGAAGGATGGGCTCAAGCATAGCAAAGATTGTGAAGATGGCGCAGGACTGGGCAGTGTTTCATTCACTTGTGAATAGGCTCACTATGAGTCAAAGCTGACTTGACAGCACCTAACAACAGCAACAAATAAGGAAGAAATGAGAAGAGGAGAGGGTGTTGTGGTAAATAGGAAACTAAACGTTCTCCCAGTTAGAAACCCATCATCCCTTCTCTTTTCACTATTTATTTGTAGGGCAGTTATTTTTAATGAGGGGACTACCTCCTATGGACATTTTGGAATTAGGGGAAATTACATGGTGTATTAAAACCACGTCAGAATTACTCTGCATTTAATATAAAATGTTACTCAAGTTAAGGCTTATGTTTTGAATATCCAGCAAAACATTAGGGAATGGTAAAGGACAGTTGATGTATATGGGATTGTCTCACACATTGCCAGACTGCTAGCATCCTTGCCAAGATTACCCCCAACCATAGCAACCAAAAAAAATGCCCTCATCTTCAAAATGTCCTTAACCAAGAAAAACCAGACTCACTGCTGTTCAGTCGGTTCTGACTCACAGTAACCCCTCCTTGGGTTTCCGAGGCCTATCTCTATGGAAGTAGATTGCCCGAT